GGGCGGCAGCAGAGCGGGTTCCGGCAGGGCGCCGCGGGCGGCTGGTGCCGCGGGCAGCCCGGGGCCCGCGCTGCCCATGCTGCTGCTCAGCGCTGCCTGCTCCGAGCCTGCTGGGACAGGAGAGAGCGGGGAGCTCGCGGGACGCTCCACGGCGGCGGCTAAGCCGGTTAGAGGGGAACGGCCCTGCAAAGGGAGCCGGGGCAGCGCGCCGGCTTCTGGGTCAGCGGGCAGCGCGCGGGGACGGGCAGCGCGCTGCAAATGTGCCAGCCGGCACTGGGGACGTTGCGAGGTCCCCGGAGCGCCCTGGCCAGGCTGGCACTGGGGTGGGAAGCGGCACAGGGCACCTGAGCCATAGGGACACAGTGACACAGTTCCGCGCTTGGAAAGCAGCACTCGCTGCCTTGAGTCCCGCTGCAGGAGCCAGGGTGCGAGCTCGGCACCGGGCACCCTGCGGCACCGCGCGGACCTGTGCACGGCAGCGTTGCAGGAACGGCACTGCCGACGGGCGCCCGCTCCCACCCACGCCGGGCACACGGGCAGCGAGGCTGTGGGAGCAGGGTGATCCTGCTGGATTGCCATGGCAACCCTGGGAAACGGCTCCATGGCGGCACGAAGCTCCCCAGGAGCGCAGCGGCATCCCAAGGAGCAGGGAGAAGAGCAGCCCACGAGCAGGAAGGTGCCTGAGGGCCAAGTGTTTATTTATTTATCTACATTAAAAATACGTGCAAGAGCCTGGGAAAACCACTGCATTGCACTGGAGAAGCCAGTGAGGGTCTTGCATCCATCCCAGCTTCACAGATGGGGATCCAGGAGAGGGATCCCTCATTTGAGAGCTGGAAATAGTGACCCAAGTGCCAATCACCAAGCCAACAGAGTGTTTTTGGTGGCCCCAGGAAGGTCGGAGGAGGGAGGACGGGATCCCCTCCAGCCCGTATCCCCTAGAGATGCCGCCCGCTCCCAAACCTCTGCTTCATTTGCTCCGGATTAAGTGCAGAGCTTTAGCTGCTCAGCCCTAAATCCAACCTCACGCTGCTCCCAGCACAAAAGGGAAGCGGCAACAGCTTGCACGGAGCAGCTCCTCACAACCCGCCTGGGGGGGCCGAGCCCTCGGGATGCTCTGGGGCTGTGGGTACCGCTCTGGAGCCTCTGGGGTGCTCCAGGATGCGGGTACCACAGGCGAGCCTCCAGGATGCTTCAGGACTGTGGGTACCATTCCCGACTGCCCGGGATGCTCCGGGATGCGGGTACCACTCTCCCCTCCAGCAGGAGCCGTGCCGAGCCGCCCGGCGCAGCCTTTCCCGCGGGAACGAGGGCCGGCCGCCGCGGGCAGCTGTGGGGGAGCGTGGCCGGAGCAGGCAGCGGGCAAAGCCGGCTGTATTCCCAGGGCGGGGGCCCTTGTTTGCCTTTCCGCAGCGCTGGCAGCGGCGGCCCCGGCCCCGCGCGCTGGGTGGGGACGTGTTTGCTCGCGCAGGGCGCTGCGGGACACGGGCAGAGCCGCCGGGGCGGCGCGGGAGCCCCCGGCCCGCGCCCGAGCGCCGCCGCGGCCGAGTCCTTCCCTCGCCCCATACGAGCCGCGCGCGGCCGGAATCGCCACGGCGGAGAGGGCAGCTCCGCACCGGCAAAACGGCAGTGGGCAGGAGAGGAAGCGATTAGGGAATTAGCTCTTGCAACACTTTAAACAAACAACTGCCACCGAGTTGGAGGAGCCGCCAGGCCCCGGGCGCTTTTCCGAGGTTTTCCCTTTGCTCCAGAGCCGCGCGGGTGGCAGGGGAGGCGCGAGGCCCCCGTGCGCCCCGTGGCGGCTTTCCCGGCAGCGGGGGACGCGGTCGGCACGCGGAGCTGCGGCGCGCGGAGCCCGGCCGGGTCAGGTGCCCCGGCACTGCCTGCCCCAGTGGCTGAGCACAACCCGCACCAGCGACTCCGGAGAAAGCAAAGCCAAGCGGGAAAAGAAAGGAGAGCTGCAGCCCAGCCCCGCGAACAATGGGCCCGTTAATTAAAATTAAATCTGCGGTTAAACAGGTTGTGCCGCAGCGCAGCTCAGGGAGACAGCCTGGGAGAGCTCCCAAATCCCAGGGCGCTTCCAGGTGCCCTTTCCCAGCCCCACATTCTGTCTTATGTGCAAGGTGGGGGGTTCGCCCTTTTCCTGGAGTTTGGCAGCAGGTGCTCCAGCATTCCAGCACTTGGCCACTGGGAAGGCGATGTCCCCTCTGTGACCATCCCCGGACAAGGTCCTGCAACCACGAGCAGCTTTAGTAGCACCTGGATGGAGCCAGGGGAGGCAGCCGGGGCTTCCCGCTGCGGTGGAGCAGGAGCCGCTGGGATGCTCGGATTCCAGGGAATTGCATGGGCAGAGGTCTCCCTATGGCTGGAGCAGGGATTGGGGCTCTGAGATGCTGCTGGGAGGGCTGCAGACAGCACGGACAGAGAGGGGGTCTTGCTATAGGGTGCAGAGCCACCCGGCAGGGCAAATTCCTGGGACGCACGGACAGGGGCTGCCAGTGGGAATGCGGCTCCGGACGAACCTCGGGTCCTGCTGCAACCCCTGTCCTTGCACCCGCTGAGGGCCGCGGCCGCCCCGGCACCTCCGTGGCCGCTGCCGCCCGCACGGGGCCCGCGCGGTGCCCCCAGCGCCGCCGCGGGTCAGGCCGCCCCGCGCGGGAGGAGCGGGGGCGCCCGGCCGCCCCGCAGGCACCGAGCGCGCGGCCTTGGCAGCGCCGCCGCGTTTGTGTTTCGCTAACCGAGCAGAACCACCAAAGCCCGACCGGAGCCGAGCGGCCTTGGCAGCGGCGCGGCGGGAAGCGACGCAGCCGCCCAGGGAGCCCGCGGGGATGGGACAGGGTGGGAGCAGGTGGCAGAGATGCCCCCGGAGCCTCCAGAGATGGATAGAGCCACTGCACCGGCTGGCGCGGCACCGCTGGGCGCGCGCTCCTGTGGGGATGTGGCAGGGGGACGGTGGCAGCAGCGGTGGCAGCACCGGGGTGTCCCGGCTGCCACCTGGTGCCAGGGGGTCCGGGCGGAGGTGCGAGAGCAGCCGGGGCTGCGGATCCCGGTGCACCCAGGGCTGCGGATCCCGGTGCACCCGGGCGCCCCGGTCCGCGCGGGTCCTACCTGGGCGCGGGGC